TGGCGTAGCAGACGGTCAACAGACAGCAGATCCTGTTCACAGATCGGACATATGAAGCCTTCGCGAATCGCCTCCGATTCCGTAGCCATCACTCGCATCGCCTACATCCGCCGCGTCCGCACGCCGATGGCGACGTGTCACGAAGATGCATTAACTACCGATAAAACGGATGCAGCAAGATTTTAAAACCGTTGCACGCTACTAGACTGAATCTTCTTAAGTACCAGGCCATAAAAACCACCGCCACAAAACCAACCTACAGGACATTAACAAAATTACAAACTTCGATATTTATCTTCTTCTATGTATAATGTTTACAGAATGACAAATGATTAACAAGTAATGCTTACGATGAAAATTCTCTAATCTGTGAAAATGGAATAACGTACGTATTTAGCAACAGATTAATACCCCAAAGCAAGAATTATTCCAGGCAAGATTAACAGTTTCAAAATTGTTATAATATAACATGTGGAAAAAAATCTAATCAAAGGCAGTCTATAAGTTGCAACTCGTCATGTTCTATGTTATTCAGTTTCTACGATCACGTATTCCTCCGGATCGCGAAGACGGACGCGTCAAACAGTGTCACTAATGTTAATGATCCTGTGCCCAGCATCTGAACTTCGAAAAAACATAACCAAGATTTTGAGCAGAGTGTGCCGCGACATTTGCACCAGATAATTCGTGGCCGTCATCGGTGCGTCGGCCAATTGGTTGAGAGTATAACACTGCTTTCCTCTTCTTTTCTGTAGGCATTCAAAAGACCTGCCCAAGTCTTCTCAATTTAGCCAGTCAGCAGCTGCACATCAAGATCTTTTCATCTGAACTCAGAATAATCTCGAGACTGGTGAACCCAGCAATTCAGCTCAAAAAGCCATTTCAGCCGCTACTATTCAGGTCGAATTTTATCAGTCATTGCTCAAGGTTCATGATCACAGGTGAGTACGGAGATGAAGATCGATTTGAAGACAGAATGTTCAGACTTAACTACGATGCAACCACAGCGGTTCGATCCAGTACACGCAGAAACTTGCTAACCACTATTTTGTCAGTTGACCTCGTTCTTTCATTTCCCATTATTATTGAAGACGACTCAAAAGGATTTTAATTTCTCAACCTGGTCCATAAAATCCCCGTTTATCTGCAGAGCGCAGTGAGTAGAAAAACAAGACAGCACTGGCGTCTGGTCGAAGACAGGTTCGATCAACGTCGGCCACGTCGCAACGAACCTACCCAGAAAGCAGTGGAGATCAGCTTCACAAGATACCGAGTAAATAAGGTCATATGCAGATAGCAACCTTCCCGTCTCAATGTCTTCTATACAAATACAGGAATTGTCCCCCTGGCTAGGCCTGACTGGCGTATTGATATACAACACGAATAAAATAAAGGACAGAACGTAGTCTTGCCGTAAAGCTCTACAAACTCCGATAGGTCTTGGCTTAGTACTATTTACTCTGACGAAGCAGTTGCTATGACATACGGTG